CCCTGTTCTGCATGAGTTTCCACCAGGTTTTCGAGTTTCTTATCATAGCTGAAAACAAACAAAAAAGTTTCTTCTATCGGTCAAACATCGCAATTCTGAAAAAAGTCACCTGGCAGGAACCTCCTGAAAACGAGTTTTGTGGCTTTTCTGGGAAGGAGAGCAGAAACTAAAGAATGATAATTGAACTGTATACAACTATATATTCTTGGTTCTTTCGGTAAAGTCACGTAGAAGGGAAACAATAAAATAATAGAAATATAAAACAATCAAATTCTCACGACGTTTCGACTGCAACACAAGCAATCATCATCAGGTGTGAAAACCACATCAGGTGTGAAAACCACAGCTGTGGTTTTCACACCTGATGATGATTGCTTGTGTTGCAGTCGAAATGTCGTGAGAAATTTATTGTTTTAGATGTTTTATTATTTTATTGTTTCCCTTCTACGTGGTGACTTTACCGAAAGAACTAAGAATATGAATCCCTGCAGTCACGAAAGCTTTAAATCAAAATGTATACAACTATATATTGTGCTGTGCATGCGTGACGCAAATTGCTCAAGCTCGCTGGTCACTCTTGGAAACCGCGTTGTTTACGATCGACGAGTTTTAATAAAAGGTACGTGATACCTTTCTAGGTGACCATATGGATTTACATGGTATCGTAGTTATTGTATATTGGCAGATTCCAACGACGAGATTATTCACCAGTGACTCTCGTGCGCGGTCAAATTTCACACGTTCAGAGATCACCGCACGTATATTCTTGGGGGAGGGAGGGGGGGGTGGTGAAGGGAGTCACTGAGAGGCATTCGTGTGGCCTCGCACCCTTTCGCCACCACGCCACCGTCATAGATACATTTCAGTCGGCGCTTATCGGGTCGAAGGCGGCTGTGGTTGTGCAGATGGCGATCGCAAGGAGCCGTTTGAACGGGCGGCACGCTCCGACAAACGAAACGGCGTTGTGAGTTTGAGGCGGCGATTAGCGGCAACCCTCCTGATGACGATCGCTTGTGTCGCGATCGAAACGTCCCTCCTGATGACGGTCGCTTGTGTCGCGATCGAAACGTCCCTCCTGATGACGGTCGCTTGTGTCGTGATCGAAACGTCGTAGTTTATTTGAACCTATCTACGTGACTTTACCGAAAGACCCAAAGAATAGGAATTCCTGCAGTCACGACGAAAGTTTTAAGTCACGATTTGACCCACCTAAAGTCAGATTATTCCTGCCACGGCTAACCCCCCTCGCCCCCCCCCCCCCCCCCCATGGCCTAACACGCTGGGGTGTAAAGCGATGAATTCATCCGGCAGTCGCCTCGAAGAGAAGGGGGCTGTGACGTTGCTCGCATTGCCTTGCAGTCGCCCGTCTCGCTTAACAAGCGAGATCCGTTCCGGAGAGAATTGCTCGTTCAGTGGAAATCCGTTGCTAAACGATCGTCGTTCACGCCATTGACTCACTCCCCGCGTTAGAAGCCGAGTTACGTTTCAGCCACAAACATTTTCCGCTCTTGTTCAACCTTTTTTTTCACGTGAGAAATAAAAAAGTTTTTTTAAATAAATAAATACTTTTTTTATCAAATTGGTACGATGAGCTTCGTCAATGACCGCAAAGACGGGACCACCGGATATAAAGCCACGGGAGCAGATGGGAACTTCTGATCACACAGAATCTGATCGGACAGAACATCAACCGCAGGGGGAGTTGGGTGAAAGATCAGAAGAGGTGGAGTGAATCAAACTCGCGTTGAGGGCACGTCTGTGGATCAACGTGAAGACCCAGTAGAACTGGCCGATGATTTTCGACGTCATCCCATCCTCGAGATCGAGAGACGGGAAGAGCGCTGACCGCTGCGCCACCGCTCCACCCCTCGGCATCGAGGTGAAAGATCAAGATGACATCGGCGTGGCCAAATCCGTTGATGGCATCACACTTCCTTGGCAACGCTTTCTATACCCGCTGCCATTACGGCAGCTGCTGCCAAGTAGAGACGCAACCCCCATGGTGTATCCTGACAGTCTCCCACCATCTGCTCTTAGATAGACTCACACAGAAACCCACAGACTCCCAAAGCGGCCCAAATACCCAAAACGGCGACCCACAGATTCACGCAAAGACCCACAGAGTCAGAGACCCACAGATCTGCCCTCAGTTTCCCACCATCTGCTCTTGGATAGACTCACACACAGAGACCTACAGACGCACAGAAAACCCCACAAACTCACACAGAGACCCATAGATGTACCCTTACAGTCTCCCACCGTCTGTTCCTCGACTGCCTGCCTCGGCAATCGGCCCTCACCTTGGTCTGCAGATTCGCCTGCTAATTCGTGTTGGCATGGCTCACGTGTTGGGCAGAGAGTCACGATTGTGTTTGCAATCACACGTTCTGTGTGTGTGTGTGCTTGCGATCCAAACCAAACCACACAAACTCATTTGTTCACGTGTCAAATTTACTGAGTGGTAAAGCAGCAGACATATCGATTAAGGTTACATATCGATGCTTAGCTTTAGCATTACCGTATTCTCTGGATTATCAGGACACACTTTCTCCCCCGTGTTTTTCAAAGCAAATATGTGGGTGTGTCTCAGTGATGCGGTAGGTGTGTGTGTGTGTGAGACCAGATTTATCAGTATTGTTATTTTTCGGCTTGTATGCCGAAAAAGGCCTCACTGAGTCTCACGACTCTCTTTTCAGGAAGGACCTGCCAAGTTTTCGCGATCGGGGGATGGTGCGATGGTTGCGCTGTGTAATTCAGTTGGAGTCATTTGGAATGTAATGTTGCAAAATGTGGCAAATTAGGGCCGTGACCCTGGCACACTACAGCCTACGCTTGCGGATAACGTCACGGGATATTTAACTTGTACTGTGTGTGAAGCCGACGGCGCGTCGTATATATTGTTATCATTGATAAACACTCAATGCAGTATTAACCGGGGCGACCGCTGGATTCGAACCGACAACCAAGCACCAGGGCGGGGTGCGTCACACTTTCGGGAGGCTGTTATACTCCGGAGAATACGGTAACATGTGAATTAATGATGTCCCACACTTCAAGTTAGATTAACAAACATTACAAAGTGTTATGTTCAATTACGAAGCATGACAAACGTTATTAGCAACAAGGTTAGCACACTGATACCATGATATGTAATGTGCAGTATAAAAAAAACATAGGCCAGATAATTGTTTCTAGGCATCAATGTCGTATTCAGTGCTGAAACTTACACAATTAATATATAATTCAAACAATATATCGCCTGTGAAAAAAAAAACCTCAATATACACACATTATCTGTATGTGTAATCTGCAAACAGTATTATTAATTATTATTGCAATTATACAAAAATAGACGGTTTAATCGTAGAAATGAATATCTATTTTACAGGATGTGAGCTGTAATCCGGCGCTGCTTGTAATGCACTGCGTGAGTCGAATGCATCTGACTCATGGTGGTGGCCAAGACCATCTCAGCTGACGGGGTACGGGTGTTGAACTTCTTTCGCACCACCGTACGTAAGCCAACCGTGCTAACCTGGAGGTGCGTGGATGAAGTCGTACCCAGTAAAGTGCAACCCCGTGACCATTCAACATCAACGCAGCAATGGTCAATCGTGGCAACGCGTTTAGTGCCATTATCTACACTCACAATTAACAATCACACGCCATTATCATTATTATTATGATTATTGCAATCTCACGCCATTATTACCGCCTTGCAACATTTCCCGTGGAGATGCTCAGGGCTCTACCCTAGGAGTACCGTTGTCCAACCTTGACATGAAACCCCACTCTGCAATCCTGAGAACAGTCCTTGGACTGTAACGCTGCTACGTCAAATTATGTGCGGACGAAACTGGGCAGAGGCCGTACCTAGCTAGGGGTTACGGCACATCGGGGCGACTGCCCCCGGCCCCGCGATTTGGGGGGGTGGGGAGCTGTGCTTCGATGTCACGGTGTCAGATGTAATCCTGTGGTTTAGTTTGAAGGTTCCGGGGAGTCCCCACGGTGTGAGTTGCCCCGGGTGCCACAACCCCCCCTCCCCCCCCCCCCCCCCCCCACGATGGACGTTCTTGACACCAGGATCCACTGATTATAACCATATCGATAAACTCAGCTCGGAATGCTATCAAAACATAACCATGCAAAAATTATTTTCCAAAATCGAACGTGCAAAGAAAGTGAACTCTTAATAACTCTTAATAACTCTTAATAAGAGTTCACCAGACGGACGGGGCGAGGTAAGCATCGGTTATCGACAGCACCTCGTGTGACTCCAACCAACCAACAAGCCACATCGGCTGGGGGGCAGGCCGCGGCAAATCCTACAGGCTGCCATAATCCCACAAACAACAATAAACGGCCAACATGTACGAGTGACGGTGGCAGGGCCACAGTGCTTGTGCCAAGCTGGGTGCACTTTCAGGCCACGTGAAATGTCGGAGGCTCACTCGCTGGCACGTCACGGGACAGTCCCAGGTGCCACGGGTTGACTGACTGAATCTAGATTTGAAGTTTTCGTGACTGCAGGGATCCATACTCTTTGGTTCTTTCGGTAAAGTCACGTGGGAATAAAACCTGCGTGACTTCACCGAAATAACCAAAGAGTCTTGACTGAGTTGACTGGCAGATGCACCACCTGTGCTCCCTACTGGAGGGCGACTGCCTCCAACTGCCCAGGAGCATCCCCTTAACGAGCCTCCTGCTCCACAGAGGCCGATATTGACACCGCTGGTGCCAGTCGTCGGCAAGTCCCACTTGCTCCACATCCTACACGTACTACATGAGGCCATCTCTTCTCTAGCCCGCGCCGTGCCCTCTGCTTTGGGCATGCGGTGGCTTGGTTCAGAGACAACTGGCTGTCTAAACCTCACAAAGACAAAGATCCCCTGTATAGCCTTAACAGACTGTCGGGGCAAGTGGTGTTAGCGAGCGCCTATGAAGGCCGGTATGGCACACGAGGTGGTGGGGGGGGGGGGCCTTGTGTCTCCCCAGTGGCGATGTTTACACACCGTGCCAGGTGCTAATTTGAGGCCGAGTCTACCTAGGGGAAGCTCAGGTGCAGTTCAGATAATCGTCACTGGTGTTGGCCGTGAGCGGGAATCGAACCTGGGTCCGCGGGTCCTAAGCCTCAAAGACAAACGCGCGCGATCTACATGGAGATCATTTTGTCCCGTGTGTCATATCGTTTTGCGTCGAGACTAGGACCAATATCAATCACAGAGGGCACTTGCCTAGAAACACCTGGCACTTCACCAGCATTTGTGCAAGCAAGCCCGACTGCTCGTGAGCCAAGAGAATGTCAAAAGCAGTCATTGCCTCTAAATATCTGGCAGTACAGCACGGCAGCATTGGTTCAAGCAAGCCCGACTGCTGATGGAGACACTCGCATTCCGAAACTGGTCCGGAGTTTTGCTTGCAGTTGAACCAATGCGGCCGACATTCCTGACACTCCCGGGAGGGAGACCCGTGTGGCCGATGTGGGTTTACGTCACAACAACAAAGCAAATGGTATTTATATATATATTTTTATCTCTGGGTAGTCCCCCCTTCTCTTCAATGGCTCCGTCGCGTTGGGATTGTTCTTTTCGCCAACGACATCACCTGGCTGCACGCACGATGCAACGCGCCGTAACAGGCCTGCGTTGTTGCTGTTTACAATAAAAATGCACGACAATTTTTTTGTTTGTTAAACCTCGGGGTTGAAGGCATGCGCGCGCGACGGAGCCATGCCCTATCCGTCCCCCGTTCACATCGTGTAGCTCGCCGTGCTCTCCGACTCGGAGCCCACGGACGCTCCGAAGCTGCGCCCGCGAGCGCTGCGGTACTTGACGTGCTCGCTCAGCCACCGCTGGCTCACGCAGCCGGCGTCCCCGAGTATCTTGAGCGCGTTGTTGCGGAACTTGACCCCCACGAACACGTAGAGGATGGGGTTGAGGCAGCAGTGCGCGAAGCCCAGGCTCTCCGTGACCGCGATGCTCTTGTCGAGACGCGCGTACAAGTCGCACGACGGGCTGACGAGGCCGGCCCGCGTGAGCGTGTCGACGAAGACGCTCACGTTGAAGGGCAGCCAGCATGCGAAGAAGGTCACGACGAGGGCGACGATGACGCGCAGGGCCTTCTGCTTCACGAAGCCTTGCGAGCGCGCGAGCGTCACCCCGATGCTCGTGTAGCAGAAGAGCATCACGCCGAGCGGGAGCAGGAAGCCGAGCGTGTGGTGCAGCATGCGGATCGAGAAGCGCCACCGGTCAGCCTGCTCCGGCGAGTAGTTCTGCACGCACTCGGTCGAGTTGAGTTGCTGTGCGGACATTGCAGGGGTGGGAGACATGATGATGATGATGATGATGTGAATCAATCACATCAAAAGCAGGGGAGAGGTAGTTTACATGCGCCACGTATTAACACACAATTAAAATCGACTTGAAAAAATGTGAATACCCAGCCGCAGGAATAACCAGGGCGGGCCGCTGGATTCGAACCGCGACCGCCACAGTAAACACACAGAGAAAGATTATGATGCTACGCACACACGTCACACCGTGAGGTATACATGCACAGACCGGCACGTCGTGGGGGGGTGGGGGGAGTCACAGGTGCACACTGTCATAACAATTCTAACTCGTAACGCACCGCCGCCGCATGGAACTCGCTCACTTTCTAAAAGAGAGAGGACGGCTCAAGAGGCGCCAGGAGGAGGAGGCTCAGCGGGGAAAGGCAGCAGCGGCCACGCGGGGAGCCGGCAGCAAATCCCCCTTCCCCAAGCTCTGCGCTCCTACAGTATATATAGTAAAGGTGGCATCGGCTAATTAATGGATTTGTGGGAGGAAACCGGAGCACCAGGAGAAAAACCGACGCGTGCAAGGGAGAAACGCTCGATCCCATACAGGTGGCATGGTTGGTGGTCGGTGCGGTGCGGGGCTGGGGGGGGGGGGTCCGCATTTTAGCTGTACCACCTTCTCCTCCACGACACCCACCACACGAAGGGGAGCTTCAGAACATTGGTGCGCGGCGATCCGCCAACCCCCTCGCTGCCGTTGCCTCGGCGGACCGTCGCCTTGTGCAGACAGCCGGCCACGCTGCACCGTGGGCCGGCTGTCGTCTGCGTGTCCGCGTTGCGCAAGCGCGTGGGCACGTACCGGCACGAACACCTGCTGGCTGTACACGATGTCCGGTACCGTGAGCAGGAACGAGACGAGCCACACGACGCCGCAGATGAGCTGCACGCGCTCGGCCCGTCGGCACCAGTGCGTCTTCACGGCGTGCACGATGGCGAGGTAGCGGTCCACGCTGATGCAGCCGAGCAGGAAGATGCTGCTGTAGAAGTTGACGCTCGTGACGCCGTAGATGAGGCGGCAAGCGTCATTGCCGAACGTCCACTGGGAGGCGCGGTACGTGGCCCAGAAGGGGAGGGTGGCGACGAAGAGGAGGTCGGCCACTGCCAGGTGGAGCATGTAGGTGTCGGCCGCCACCATGACCCTGCGGAAGCGCGCGAGCACCACCACCACGAGGAGGTTGCCCGCGCAGCCGAAGGCGAACACCAGCGAGTAGACGACGGGCAGAAAGACCTTGTTGAAGCGTCTGATGTCGCTCAGCTTGCACGGGTGCGGGCAGCACGTGCCCACGTTGTCGAAGTAGCCCGTGTCGTTCCCCAAGTAGCCCGTGTCGTTCCCGTAGCCGCTCTCGTTGTCCGGGAACGGGTAGTCGAATTCGCTGCCGTCGAATTCCAATATTACGTGCTCGTCCATGGTCTGCCAAAATATTTTTTATTTTTGTGGGGGGGGGGGGGGTTTGCGGAGAGCGTCAAATAAGTACCGCGGGAGTTGCCTCGAATGCGCTCCTGGTCCGCGCGCGCTCCGCGATAGACGCGTCCAACGTGTCGATCAAAGCGAATTAAACCAAGGGGGGCGAGGGGGGGTTTGTGTGGGGAGGGGGTGGGGCGTGGGGGCGTGGGGGGAGGGGGGGGGCGTGGGGGGAGGGGGGGCGAGGGAGGGTTTGTGTGGAGAGGGGGTGGGCGTGGGGGGAGGGGGGGGCATGGGGGGAGGGGGGGGGCGTGGGGGGGAGGGGGGGGCGTGGTTTTGATTGGTGGGAGGCCAGCTGACCATTGCGAGCCACCCGTCCTGTAGTTTAACGTTCGACGCTGCGAGCGCGCCCGTGCTACGAAGCGAACGACTTCTCAAACATACAAACATCTCCACGCCGTCCGTAAACAACACTGCGTGCGGTGGCCTGAGAAGGAAAACAACATATGATAGGCGACGTTTCGGGCAATGGCCCTTCTTCATGGCACATCACTGTTAAAACGATGCGCGGGGCAGGGGCGTGACTTTGAGAAGCCTGGGGCGACGAACTTTCCCAGCTGATTTGCTGTTGCGGCTCAGCTTTCTGGTTACCTACATCGCCGATTATGCTGATGGTAATTCATCGTTACGCAACATAACGCTGTGAGTGAGTGAGCTGTGAGTGAGACTCGACTGGTGTTATGGCTAGTGGTGTCATAGTGTACAGAGGTGAAACTTGGCACACATTTCGTCGATGATATACTTAGACCACGTCCGTAGTCGCGGGGCTGCGTTGGCCCAACGAATACGATTACAAAGGTCGCACTCATTGCACACACACACACACAGCGCTCGCCACAAACGGAGAGCAATACCTCGCCGATCTCGACGTTTGAGACTAAACCATCACGCGAACTCCCTTCGTCCTCGCGGCTTTTGGCTGCTGGCCATCCAACAAAGGCGGTCACTCGCATCGCGCGCATTCAGACGCGCTTCTGCGGCCGTCTGGAACGCCCTTGCCATGTTGGGAAGTCACTGGAGCTGAGCATTTAAAACTCTTTTCTTTAGACGTGCTCTTTGTCTTTGGTTTGTTGTCCTTCCGCCGGTACCTCCCGTCACCACGGTTGGCCACGTACGGTGCGAAATAAGTTTTACCGTGCGCACACTGAGAGAGGCCGCGAAATCTCGAGAAATTCAACATACATATAACACCGTATAACAAGCCTCAGCATTATCTGAGACACTGGGTGAACTTTGCCTAACCACGTATCTCAAAATAAGTATAATATTTTAAATAACGCTTTATTTTAAACACGCTTTAATGCAATGTACCGTACTAGCAATGGAATAACTCCACGACTCCAGTAAGTGACCCCGAAGCTTGCCACAACGTAAAGGGCCGTGGTGATTTACAGCCAACATCAGTTTACCGTGGATAATAAGACCCAAGCCGAAACATAACATAACATAAAAAATATATGTAAAATATGTATTATTTATTTTTAATGATAGACTATAGTAATGTCATCAGCATGGCATAAGTAGGGCAAGTTTTCAGTCGATACCACATAGGGAAGTGGGTAAAAATTGAGCTACAAGATTTGAGGATACAACAACAGACAAGGACAACAAAATAACAAAATATATATAAAACAATAAAAAATTCTCACGACGTTTCGACCATAACTCAAACGGTCATCATCAGGTGTGTTGGTTTGCATAAATTTATTTTTAAACGGCACATTTATTTATTTATTTATAAAAAAAAAACGTTGGCGTCACGCGCAGCGATTTGGCAGTTTGCCCAGGACTAGTCCATCTATTTTTTTTTAAATGAGGAGGGGGGAGACGAAATTTTTTATAATGTATGCTGTCTGAAAGCCACTGTAAGCGTGAACAATCAATTAAGAACTGAAATGGTTTATCAAATCTTTCCAATGATTGCTAAGATAGAATCCATCTTCTCGGTTGAAATTGTCTCTGTGCTTGTATATGTGGATATTGTTTTATATATATTTTGTTATTTTGTTGTTTCTCTTCAACGTGACTTTACCGAAAAAACTAAGAATATGAATTACTGCAGTCACGAAAGCTTTAAATCAAAACAGACAAGGAGTTAATAAAAAGCGTGTAAAAATAAAAACACAAAAACCACACACGACCATCTGCGCAAGATATTGCCATTTAAACGAGCTCCCTCCTCTTGCTCGCTGTCGTAACTTCCCGTCCAGATGACGAAAATTATTTCCACGTTGGTTGACTCAAAATACGGCTTCAATGCCTGGGTCGCTGCGATGGCAAGATGATAACTACCTCGCCTGGTCTGCAGGTAGTCGTGGGTTCGATCCCGACCCTGTATATTTGTAGTTCTTTGCATGTTCTACCCGTGGTCGTGTATATCTTTCTCCCGGTTTTTCGGTTTTTTTTCCCTCCACATTTAGAATCAACGTACATTTATAATATTTGCCTGCTAAAGATGTCCACATGATAAGCCGCTTCGCTAACTACACTAGTCACGTGGTAACTAGTGTAGCTAGCCTGGTGGTCACCACCTGGCTAGCTACACTATTCACGTGGTAACTAGTGTAGTTAGCCTGGTGGTCACCACCTGGCTAGCTACACTATTCACGTGGTAACTGGTGTAGTTAGCCTGGTGATCACCACAAGGCTAACTACACTAGTCACGTGGTAACTAGTGTAGTTAGCCTGGTGGTCACCACCAGGTTAACTACACCAGTCACGTGGTAACTAGTGTAGTTAACCTGGTGGACACCACCTAGCTAACTACACTAGTCACGTGGTAACTAGTGTAGCTAGCCTGGTGGTCACCACCAGGCTAACTACACTAGTCACGTGGTAACTAGTGTAGCTAGCCTGGTGGTCACCACCAGGCTAACTACACTAGTCACGTGGTAACTAGTGTAGCTAGCCTGGTGGTCACCACCAGGCTAACTACACTAGTCACGTGGTAACTAGTGTAGTTATCCTGGTGGTCACCACCTGGCTAACTACATCAGTCAATTGGTAACTAGTGTAGTTAGCCTGGTGGTCACCACCTGGCTAACTACATCAGTCACGTGGTAACTAGTGTAGCTAGCCTGGTGGTCACCACCTGGCTAACTACACCAGTCACGTGGTAACTGGTGTAGCTAGCCTGGTGGTCACCACCTAGCTAACTACACTAGTCACGTGGTAACTAGTGTAGCTACCCTGGTGGTCACCACCTGTCTAACTACACCAGTCACGTGGTAACTAGTGTAGTTAGCCTGGTGGTCACCACCAGGTTAACTACACCAGTCACGTGGTAACTAGTGTAGCTAGCCTGGTGATCACCACCTGGCTAACTACACCAGTCACGTGGTAACTAGTGTAGCTAGCCTGGTGGTCACCACCTAGCTAACTACACTAGTCACGTGGTAACTAGTGTAGTTAGCCAGGTGGTCACCACCAGGCTAACTACACCAGTCACGTGGTAACTAGTGTAGTTAACCTGGTGGTCACCACCTAGCTAACTACACTAGTCACGTGGTAACTAGTGTAGCTAGCCTGGTGGTCACCACCAGGCTAACTACACTAGTCACGTGGTAACTAGTGTAGCTAGCCTGGTGGTCACCACCAGGCTAACTACACTAGTCACGTGGTAACTAGTGTAGCTAGCCTGGTGGTCACCACCAGGTTAACTACACCAGTCACGTGGTAACTAGTGTAGTTAGCCTGGTGGTCACCACCTGACTAACTACATCAGTCACGTGGTAACTAGTGTAGTTAGCCTGGTGGTCACCACCTGGCTAACTACATCAGTCACGTGGTAACTAGTGTAGCTAGCCTGGTGGTCACCACCTGTCTAACTACACCAGTCACGTGGTAACTAGTGTAGTTAGCCTGGTGGTCACCACCAGGTTAACTACACTAGTCACGTGGTAACTAGTGTAGCTAGCCTGGTGATCACCACCTGGCTAACTACACCAGTCACGTGGTAACTAGTGTAGCTAGCCTGGTGGTCACCACCTGGCTAACTACACCAGTCACGTGGTAACTAGTGTAGCTAGCCTGGTGGTCACCACCTAGCTAACTACACTAGTCACGTGGTAACTAGTGTAGTTAGCCTGGTGGTCACCACCAGGTTAACTACACCAGTCACGTGGTAACTAGTGTAGTTAACCTGGTGGTCACCACCTAGCTAACTACACTAGTCACGTGATAACTAGTGTAGCTAGCCTGGTGGTCACCACCAGGCTAACTACACTAGTCACGTGGTAACTAGTGTAGCTAGCCTGGTGGTCACCACCAGGCTAACTACACTAGTCACGTGGTAACTAGTGTAGCTAGCCTGGTGGTCACCACCAGGTTAACTACACCAGTCACGTGGTAACTAGTGTAGCTAGCCTGGTGGTCACCACCAGGCTAACTACACTAGTCACGTGGTAACTAGTGTAGTTAGCCTGGTGGTCACCACCTGACTAACTACATCAGTCACGTGGTAACTAGTGTAGCCAGCCTGGTGGTCACCACCTGGCTAACTACACCAGTCACGTGGTAACTGGTGTAGCTAGCCTGGTGGTCACCACCTAGCTAACTACACTAGTCACGTGGTAACTAGTGTAGCTAGCCTGGTGGTCACCGCCTGTCTAACTACACCAGTCACGTGGTAACTAGTGTAGTTAGCCTGGTGGTCACCACCAGGTTAACTACACTAGTCACGTGGTAATTAGTGTAGTTAGCCTGGTGGTCACCACCTGTCTAACTACACTAGTCACGTGGTAACTAGTGTAGCTAGCCTGGTGGTCACCACCTGTCTAACTACACCAGTCACGTGGTAACTAGTGTAGTTATCCTGGTGGTCACCACTAAGCTAACTACACTAGTCACGTGGTAACTAGTGTAGCTAGCCTGGTGGTCACCACCTGGCTAACTACACCAGTCACGTGGTAACTAGTGTAGTTAAGCTGGTGGTCACCACCAGGTTAATTACACCAGTCACGTGGTAACTAGTGTAGTTAACCTGGTGGTCACCACCAGGCTAGCTACACTAGTCACGTGGTAACTAGTGTAGCTAGCCTGGTGGTCACCACCAGGCTAACTACACCAGTCACGTGGTAACTGGTGTAGCTAGCCTGGTGGTCACCACCTGGCTAACTACACCAATCACGTGGTAAACGGTGTAGCTAGCCTGGTGGTCACCACCATAGGTTGTTCTTCTGTTCAGGAGAAAGTTACCCCGTGTGTTGGAGTTGAATAAATGTGCTGCCTCGAAGTCTACGCCTGCGACTCTGTCGAACTCACTACACATATATATTTTATGATACTCAACAAAAGTAGTCCCATAAACAATGTTTATTTTTTTTGTGTAATGCTTCGCAAAATTCCTTCCAAATGGCACTCTTTTCAACTTTGGAATTTCATAACGCCCAGACCCATAACCTTAAAACATTTTAGTTCGGTCCAAAAAAATGTATAATGAACATTTCTCGAAAATGCTTTTTAATACGCGATTATGTAGTGTATATCTTAACGGACGCGTATCACAAAATTAATAGCTGGGCTCATACGAATACAGCACATCATGTGCAGTATACCATTTACCTGGAGAATGCACAGATTAATAATCAAGAACACAAAACAGCATTCAATTACAGCAAAACTTTCATTTTTTAACCGTCATTCATGCTAATGGCATCCCATAACGTTGTTCATTAATTATATATAAGGACCAAATTCTATATGCCAGCTACTACCAAGGAAATGAAAACCCTACGACCAAGCGAATTTCATATAATAATAAACAGTAATAAACATTTTACGAACAAATAGAGAACTGGCACCCAAACAAAGGGCACTAACACAGAGTCCACTCAACCCACATTCCAGAATATTTATCAAATAAAAGATTCCGTGAACGCAACTAATTTCACTTCTTAGTACGTCTAGTTGGTCACATCGGCACTCAAGTGAGTGCGAGCGAGCGAGCGGATGGCGGGGGGTGGGGGTCCACGGGACACCAACTCTTACCAAGTCATCCAAACTATTCGCCATCTCTTCTTGCCGACCGCTCCTCCCAAATAGGTCGCAGCTGTGTAACTGGCTGCCCTGAGCTCCCACTGCCGGATACAGCTCGCCCCAGTCCACCCTTTGCGATGTCTAAAATAATTATTTAACCCTTAGACCAACCCCTCTCCGAACCGGGAGCATGAATCAGCACATGGGAGCGAGGAAACGCCAAGAGACGTCTGCTTCTCTAAAACGAGCAACAACAACAACAACAAAGCACAGGCAAATATCACCTGAATAGCCTGCAACGCTTGTGGGGGACAAGGGCTGTTGCGTACACTTATGAAGGTGCCAAAGCGGCGCACGATGGGGTGGTGTGGCTTAAACCGCGCCCGGCTGCTTTATCTCCCCGGTCGTGATTGTGTGTTTTGCACACCGCGATCGGGTGCCCATATAAAGTCCGAGTCGACCGAGGGGTGGTCAAATCGGTTAAAATATTCACCACCGGTGTCAACCGTGAGCAGGAATCGAACTCGGATGGCCGGATGCATGCACGGAACCGCTGCACTCGACCCCTCCCCACTCGAAAGCAACGACCACAAAAGACAAAGATCCCCCGCATAGCCTGAACAGACTGCTGGGGCTAAGTGCTGTTAGCGAGCACCTACACACGCACAGCCATACCAATCGCATTGGTCTGCCTAATTTTGTTTTGCTGTGTGTGCGTGTAGCTATTAGTCCGGCCTTCGTGTGCAATAAACATGTACAGCTAATTAATTTATCAACTGCTGGATGAAAGCTTCCACGGGCCCCAGAAAATAACCCATGGGTTATTTTGAACTCTTTACGTTGGTGCAATTCAATCGTTTGGTTCGCGAGATGTGAATCCGGCCATTGTCGGTATGGGCTTCCCCTAGGTTTGCTCGGCCGTAAATAATTAAATTTGCACTCCATGGTGCCCGGAAGAGAGTTTATAGGTTCGTCTGGGCGTACCGAAATTTGTATTCAAGGTGCGGGTGATATCTGCACTGGCGTGTGGACCACGCAGAGAGAGAGAGGGAGAGAGCAGGACCACCCCCACCCACCACCACCAACGCAGTTCTAAAATATCGACGCTGCCACTTGAGCACAGGCGTCCCGGAGACGCGGTGGGGGGGGGGGGGTAGAGGAGACCTGAGCTATGAAGCTCGTTCCTCACAGATGTCCCTTAGAACAGAGGCTCTGGAAGTCTATGCGACTCTCTGAGGGTCTAAAGGTATCTGCGATTAACAACGGGTTTCCGTGATTAGCGCGGTTTGTTACGTGCGATGCGAAATAATGTCAACGGATATCAATTTGAGTCTCTGGAATCTATGAGTCTCTGTGTGAGTCTAAGACTAGATGGTGGTGGTGAGTAGCGTACGTACGTACATATGAGTGTATAACTTCTTTCGCACCGTACGTAGCCAACAGTGCTCATCGGTGGTGCGACGGGGGGAGGGAGACAGCGAACTAAACACACAAAAAGCCATTCTCAAGAAATGAGTTTTTCAATCGAGTAAAAGGGGGAATCTTGAAAGGTGGCGAGTCTTACTTGCGCAGCGTGGGCAATGAGAAATGACAGAATCAACGGCTTTGGCCCACCACTATGATGACGGTGACGATGATCCGATATGTATGTATATTGAACTGTAAAATGTTGGGAGTTCACTCTCCAATGCGCCGGTGCGCTGAACGAGTAACGAATTGGCATTGTTTAACCACGAGGAGAGAGGACATGCAAACTCCAAAACACACGGCAGGCGAAAAGGGTCGGGCCCGAGCCCATGACCCTCCTGCATACCAGGCGAGGTAGTTTGCGACTCGCCACCGTGGCTGCCAACGTACGAGTGAAGTAGTTTCGACCTTGGCATCAGCGTGCCAATCAGTGCCATCTCGCGCGGCCGCTTCGCCCCTCTCTGCCCGGAGGCCCCCGTTTGCTGTACGACCAAGTGACCGAGGCGCGTGTGTATTTCGATAACGTGGGAGCACGAGGAAAAGGTTTTTTTTTTGTTCTAATCGGTCACCTCGGCTGGGCGAACATGTGCCTCGGCCACTGATTTGGAGTCGGTTGGATTTGTTTTAATCACAATATTTATGGGTTCTGGATGTGGCGCTTGCGGCTCACGTGCTTAGTCACAGATTAGATCATTTGGTAAAGCGTGGTGGAGTGTACTGCACAGATGGTTGGTTGGTTCATTATGTATTTGCACTACTGGTAATGTAATATTACGAAAAAAGTGTTTCATATATACAGTGAGGGAAAAAGTATTTGATCCCCTGCTGATTTTGTACGTTTGCCCACTGACAAAGAAATTATCAGTCTATAATTTTAATGGTAGGTTTATTTGAACAGTGAGAGACAGAATAACAACAACAAAATCCAGAAAAACGCATGACAAAAATGTTATTCATTGATTTGCATTTTAGTGAGGGAAATATGTATTTGACCCCCTCTAAATCAGAAAGATTTCTGGCTCCCAGGTGTCTTTTATACAGGTAACGAGCTGGGATTAAGAGCACACTCGTAAAGGGAGTGCTCCTAATCTCAGCTTGTTACCTGTATAAAAGGCACCTGTCCACAGACGCAATCAATCAATCAGATTCCAAACTCTTCACCATGGCCAAGACCAAAGAGCTCTCCAAGGATGTCAGGGACAAGATTGTAGACCTACACAAGGCTGGAATGGGCTACAAGACCATTGCCTAGCAGCTTGGTGAGAAGGTGACAACAGTTGGTGCGATTATTCGCAAATGGAAGAAACACAAAAGAACTGTCAATCTCCCTCGGCCTGGGGCTCCATGCAAGATCTCACCTCGTGGAGTTGCAATGATCATGAGAACGGTGAGGAATCAGCCCAGAACTACACGGGAGGATCTTGTCAATGATCTCAAGGCAGCTGGGACCATAGTCACCAAGAAAACAATTGGTAACACACTACGCCGTGAAGGACTGAAATCCTGCAGCGCCCACAAGGTCCCCTGCTCAAGAAAGCACATATACATGCCCGTCTGAAGTTTGCCAATGAACATCTGAATGATTCAGAGGACAACTGAGTGAAAGTGTTGTGGTCAGATGAGACCAAAATGGATATCTTTGGCATCAACTCAACTCGCCGTGTTTGGAGGAGGAGGAATGCTGCCTATGACCCCAAGAACACCATCCCCACCGTCAAACATGGAGGTGGAAACATTATGCTTTGGGGGTGTTTTTCTGCTAATGGGACAGGACAACTTCACCACATCGAAGGGACAATGGACGTGGCCATGTACCGTCAAATCTTGGGTGAGAACCTCCTTCCCTCAGCCAGGGCATTGAACATCGGTCGTGGATGGGTATTCCAGCATGACAATAACCCAAAAGACACGGCCAAGGAAACAAAGGAGTGGCTCAAGAAGAAGCACATTAAGGTCCTGGAGTGGCCTAGCCAGTCTCCAGACCTTAATCCCATAGAAAATCTGTGGAGGGAGCTGAAGGTTCGAGTTGCCAAACGTCAGCCTCGAAACCTTAATGACTTGGAGAAGATCTGCAAAGAGGAGTGGGATAAAATCCCTCCTGAGATGTGTGCAAACCTGTTGGCCAACTACAAGAAACGTCTGACCTCTGTGATTGCCAACAAGGGTTTTGCCACCAAGTACTAAGTCATGTTTTGCAGAGGGGTCAAATACTTATTTCCCTCATTAAAATGCAAATCAATTTATAACATTTTTGACATGCGTTTTTCTGGATTTTTTTGTTGTTATTCTGTCTCTCACTGTTCAAATAAACCTACCATTAAAATTATAGACTGATCATTTCTTTGTCAGTGGGCAAACGTACAAAATCATCAGGGGATCAAATACTTGTTTCCCTCACTGTATGGTATGTGTGTGTGTGCACCTTTGTGGCAGTGACACAGCCAGCCGGTTGAGCGTACGCCCCCCGTTGCAGACGTTCACGCGGCTCGAATCCAGCGGCCGCCCTGATTAATACCGCTTTGTGATATGAACCTGCTTGCACTCACAGCGGACATTATCGGTCTCCGTTACTTCATCCGCAAGCGTAGGCCATTGTGTGGCGGTGTCGCGGTACAAATTTTTCCACGCATTGCTTGAAATGCTTACACCACAAATGACTCCGTTCTAATCTACATACATCGCAACCAATGAACCCCCCCCCCCCCCCGTCTACTGCAAAGACTTGGCAGGAATCTCCTGAAAGTGAGCCATGACACTCAGTGAGGCTTTCCGGGGTGAACAAGCAGAATAATAATTCATATAATTACGATAATAATTAATATAGTGGTGCAGTGGTCAGGGTGTGATCTGAGAGAAGAAGCCTTCCCCATTTCTTAAGACGCATTTTTTTAATTTTTTTTTATATATTTGTGGAACATGGTATTCATGTTCTAGATAGTTTAAATAGGCAACCATCGTGTTTAATGGATAACGTGTCTGGCCTCTAAACCATGACAGACCGCAATAGTTTACTGCACATTCGAAGAAGACCATTTTTTTATTTCTTGTAAAATTTGCACCAATGTATGAATGAATCAAATATGTAATGCATACACGTTTTGTTAATTGCCGAGATCCAGTCCGTCCGAGACCATCCCTCTCCCTGTCATACTGTCACCATACTGTTACCACGTGGCCATGCCAGGCTGGGTCCGACCTGGCTCCAGGGATGTGTCCCGGTATCCCTTGTCCTGGCGAGGTTTTCTGATTTTTATATTTCAGAACCATTCATAAGGAGGCTTTTGTTTTGACCGTTACATGTCTGGAACCTCCCCCCAGACCCGTTCAACCAAGGGAGACCCTGCCAGTCGTACAAGACTCCAGGCGAACGTCATTGAAACACACAAACTCCACCACCACGATAAGGTGACGATCCTTCGTTGGGATCACACTCCTCAGCGTCCCAGGTAAAGCCGATGCCGGAGTGCTGAGAGGAGGCTGCGCCCGGTGGTCGAGCCTCAGATTCAGGAGGAACAATGTGGGTGCCGTCAGGGTCGTGGAAGAATGGACCAGCTCTTTGACCTCTCACGGATATTTGAGGGGTCATGGGAGTGCGCTTCTCCGGTCTACCTCTGCTTTGTAGACCTGTAGACGGCGTGTGGCTGTGTTCTCTGTAATGTCTCGTGGGAGGTGCTGCAGGAGTACGGCTCTATTCGGTCCCTTCTATTCCCGGAGCGAGAGCTGTGTCTGTATTCTTGGTGTTAAATCAAAGTCGTTCACCGTGGGTGTTGGTCTCCACCAAGAGAGCGTCTTGCCTCCACCCCTGTTTGTGATTTTCATGGACAGGATATCAAGGCGCAGCCGAGGTATGGAGAGTATCCGTTACGG